TTCAGGCAAGAGCAGTTTCTTGCCAGCGTTGTCACATTGAAGGCAAATTCCATGAGTTTCTTCAATGCCCATCAACCTCTCTGAAGAAAATGGTACTGCCAGAAGCAGACATGTCTCACTGTTGAGAAAAGTCTTAAGTTTTTTTTTTTTTTTGGATTTTTCGAGACAGGGTTTCTCTGTAGCTTTTGGTTCCTGTCCTGGAACCAGCTCTTGTAGACCAGGCTGGCCTCGAACTCACAGAGATCCACCTGCCTCTGCCTCCCGAGTGCTGGGATTAAAGGCGTGCGCCATCACCACCCAGCTAAGTCTTAAGTTCTTAAAACGTTTTGAATGCCGTATTCTGTAGGTCTTTGAAGTACTGAAGATTATCTAACTGAAATATATCTCTGTATATCTAGAAAATCTAACTAACATGACTAAAAGTTTGATTATTATAGATGACTATTAATCTGTATTTCTTATTTATACATTACAATTTAAAAAGAGCTGTACAAACACAATACCTTAAACAAGAACAGATATACATATACATAGTATGATAAATGACCTTAAATTTGTACTAATGCAAAGTATTCATCTTTATATCATATCTCCCCCGCCTTGTTAGAAAGAGATTAACTGTGACCATTTAACCACTTATAATCAACCCCCTTTAAATGACAACACATATTTATAAGCAATCATTTTAAGAATTTGGGCATTGTTTTCTCCAAACTGCTTCCTGCTGTTTGTTGGGTGAAGTATTTTTAGGGTTCATGAAGACTTTTGGGGGCTCTTGTTCCATCAAACCACGATAGCCCAGAAGGAATCCACAGGTTCTCATCTTCTGTGGAAACAAAAGAGAACCTCTTTTCTAAATCAAAGAATCCTTAAACCCAAATTTTGAAGTAAAGATACTTGTAAAATATATATGGTGGTTTAGCTTAGCAGCCCGTACAATGAAATGTCTCTCTGTACTTAGCTCCTTCACAGTCAGAAAATTCAAAGAAAGCACAATAATATACATAACCCAGACTCTTTGTGTATTTTCCATCTTTACATGCCTTTTTTTACTCTATTACTTTTAATTGTTAATTTATTAATCTCTGGCTGTCTATACTCATACTACTTTTACTGTTTTATAACTGTCTATACTCTTTTTCCTCCCTCTCAAGTCTATGTACATTTTTAAACACACTGTGTCTCATTTAGAGGTCTGTCCAATTGTGTATCTGAAATCCTTTTCTGACAAAAAGCACCTTTTTTTTTAAAATGCTAAGCAGGCATGGCTAAGACCAGCTCCATGGTTCTGTCTGTTGGCTCCACCCCATCCATCATGGTGGAGGTATGTTCACTGCCTACTCTGCTAACCATGCTCACTGCCCCAACTCCAGGAAGACAGCAGGTATTTAAGCAATTTGTAACACACTGCTCACAAACCCCATTTAAGTTCTCCATAGCAGGAACTCTCAAAAGAGCCGGAGCCATGTGCTCCATGTGCTGTCAGCAAAAACTATGAAGTCTTTGCTGCTAATGTATCAGGAAGCCTTTTCTTAAAGGAGCCACACCTCTGCTTGTAGCCAGCCTATCTAAAAAAATGCAGCTACCACGAAGCTCCAATTGACTCCTGTTTTTTTGGGGGGGGGGGGTCTAAAAGCCTTTCTTAAACTTTCTTAGGTTTTATGTGGAACTTTTTGCCCCACATTGGTACCATTTGTAAGTGGAGACTACTTGTTTATTCCAGCTGCCCAGACCCAAATAATCACACAGAAACTATATTAATTACAGTCCTGTTTAGCCTATTAGCTCAGGCTTCTTCTTAACTAACTCTTACATCTTAAATTAACCCATTTCTATTAATCAATATATCACCACGAGGCTTTGGCCTACCAGTAAGTTTCCAGTGTCTGTCTCCTTCAGCAGCTACAATGGCATCTCCTTGACTCCACCTAGTTTCTCTATATATCTCTGTTCGGATTTCATTTCTAGCTTTATTCTGCTCTGCCATAGGCCGAAGCAGCTTCTTTTTTAACTAATGTTGAAGGAGCTGCGGGCTGTGTTCCTGCTGCCCGGCTCCTGGCCACCTGGCTAGCTTATGCCCTGAAATAACAACACACAAATTGTATTCATTTAAACACTGCTTGGCCCATTAGTTCTAGCCTCAACAGATTGATATATGACACTCCCACATCAAACTAATGGTAATAAAACATATTCCCAACATACAGAGGGGAATCCCACATCAGAAAGATGTGTATTAATTCCTGTCTTTTTTGTACTTTCCTAATGCTTATTTGCTTATTCACTCTTCTAGTATATAATCTTTCCTGAGGCCTCATGGTTGTAATCTTTTTCTTCAGTGTATGGGATTCCTTAAGACTTCTGTAATGCTGTTTTAGCAGTTGTAAATTACTTTGTGTTTATCATGGAAAGTTTTTCTTTATCCTGTAAGTTTAACTTGTGCTAGATATAATACATATTAGTGATTATTGTCTTTTAGAACTTGAAATGTGTCATTCCATGTCATTGTGACTTTTGCAATTTCTGTCGTAAAATCTATTACTCTAATGGGTTTGTCTTTATATGTGCTTTGGTACTTTACTCTTAGAGCTTTCAGTATTCTTTCTTTGTTCTGTATACTTAATATTTTAACTATAATATAATATAGAAAGTTTTCTTTTCTGGTCTTGTCTGTTTGGCATTCTAAATGCCTCCTGTATCTACATGATCATCTCTTTCTCTAAACTTGTCACATTTTTTGGCTTGATGTATTTAATACATTTTTGGTTCTTTTTTGAAACAGGGTATCTCTATGTAGCCCTGACTGTCCTGTAACTCATTTTATAGATTAGGCTGACATCAGGCTCAGAGGTCTGCTTGCCTTTGCCTCCTGAGTGCTGGGATTAAGAGTGTGTACATTTTTGTCGATGAGATTGAAGCCAAACACTACAGAAGTGCTCAGTGAGGAATAGGAAATGTCAAAAGTGCACAAGACACATATAAATAAAAGGCCTAGGAACCTACCTGAACAATTTAAAATGTAAGCAACAAAATAGTGATAGTAGTCCGTTATAAACCAGCAAAAGTCTAAATATCCATAAAGATATACTAATATTAATAACTGAATAAAGGGCTGGAAAGATGACAAAGTGCTTGCTATACAAGTCTGATAACTTGTGTTCAATCCCTGTAACACATCTAAAGGTAGAAGAAGAAAACCAATTCCAGAGAGCTGTTCTCTGACTGCCACACATGTGCTGTAAAATGAATGCACACACATGTGCACACACACCAATAAATAAACAAATGAAAAAAGCAAGGAATAATGAACTGTTTTCTTTGGAGAAGGATTACAATTGATGACTGTAAAAGTAATAAGGAAAATAAATCAAAGTTATCATCAAAACAGCACAGCATCATTTCTAGAAGCATTTGGGGGATGCTGAAGAAGTCAGTGGTCATTTAAGGAGAAGCAGGCTATTTGCATGATCTTTAACTTGTTTTTTTCTGAGACAGGGTCTCATTTTAGGATTGCAACCATTAACAATCCCACCTGGTGATAGTTGTATGGTCTTGAACTGTTTCTCAAAGTATTTATTAATTAAAAAAGGAAAAATAAAATGGAAAGAGCCAGCACTAACCTAACTATATGCTTTACATGACTTTTACTAGTTTTTACTTAGTGTCAAGGTCACAAGGGACAGATTTAAGAAACCACTATTGATTGGAAGTCATTAAGGAGGCATGGCAGGAATGACAGAATATTGGAAAGTATAAAAGGCAGTTACTAGTAGTCAGACATGGTTGTATGTGCTTGTAATCCCAACTCCTGAGAGATATAGGCATGTGAAGTCCATAGTTAGCTCAATTAGTTGATTGAGTTCTTAACTTTAACAATTGTACTGTGGTTATGTCCAAATAGTAACATTAGGCAAGACTAAATGAAAGGTATTAGGGGACTCTGTGCTATTTTTTGTAATTTCTGTCTAATTCTGAAGTTATTTCAAAATAAAATATTTTAAAATTAATTTTAAATATTTTTAAATTACCAATGGGATGTGTACAGTTATGTCTAGGAGTAGATTTTGGAGTGAAATTCTTTGGAATCATCTCTTGGTTTTGTCACTCACCAACTGTAGGATTTTGGGTGAGTTACTTATCGTCTTTTTGTAATTCAGTTTCATCATCTGTAAAATATAAGGATTAAGGAAGATTATGCATTTATTGCATATTCTTTTAGTACCAAGAGAGTAAGATTAGATTGTGTGTTTGACATAAAATACCAGCTACTGTTTAGCTTCCATGTAAATACCAGCTACTGTTTAGCTTCCATGTGCTAGATTTTATGGGACTCTCCTTTGGGGAAAAATTGAGAAGTGTTTCTAGATTATTTGAGTTCTGTTTCTCAGACTTTCTGATTAAGTGTTGAAGAGACCCCCCCCCCCCAACTGCTGTGGGACAATGTTCTGTACCCTGTCACTTTTTATATTTTAAATAAACGCTGATTGAACAGTAGCCAAGCAGGAAGTATCGGCAGGGCGACCAGGCAGGAAGTAGAGGCAGGGCAATGAGAATTATGGGAAGAGGGAAGTTTCAATCTGCAGTTGTCACCAAGACACAGAGGAAGCCAGACACAGTAAACAAGATATGACTGCCTCACCGAAAAAGGTATTAAGCCACGTGGCTAACACAGACAAGAATAATGGGCTAATATAAGATATAATAGTTAATAAGAAGCCTGAGCTACTAGGCCAACCAGTTTATAATTAATGTAGACCTCTGTGTATTTATTTGGGCCTAAACGAATGTTGGATCTGGTGGGACAGAAACCCTAGTCAACACCCAACTTCTCAGAGACCCCAATTTAAGTCACCGTGAATTCCTTAATAGCCAATGTTGAGGTGTGTGTGTGTGTGTGTGTAAATTTGCTCCTATTTATGGTTTTTTATTTAAGGATTATATATCTAGTAAATGTTTAGTGGTTATGATTTTCAAGTTATATCTTGATTATTTTATACCAGGACTTTGGGATATGGGAACGTGGAGACAAGACCAACCAAGGCATCTCAGAATTGAATGCGAGTTCTGTTGGAATGGCCAAGGTACATTATATTTCTTATTTTTACCAAATTTAGTCAGTGGAGTCTGGTTTACCTTTGTCACAGATAAAACTTTAGTGTACATGCAGACCTATCACACTGTTCTTTAAACCGCAGACAAAATTCAAATTCCTCCATGAAACTATGAATAAATAGTATCAAAAGCTTTTTGTGAGTTCCAGATTTGATACCATATGGCTTTTGTGGCACATCTCTGTTTATATATCCTACAAGGACAACAAATTTAAAACGATATTCACTATTTTTGCCATTGAATAAACTAAGAGAATCTCTTTGTCCCTGCATAGTCCAGTCCACCAAGCTTGGTATCAGATAGCAAACTCTGAATCCTCCATCCCCTTTTACTCTTCTCTGTCTCCCATATCACTGTCACCTTTCCACTTGGCTATGTCTTTTCATTCTACTAGCTCTTATTTTCTCTAGAAACAGGAAGAATTTATAAAATAGGATAACAGGAGTAAGTTCAGACATTATTATGATGAATGTGCATTGCTCAATCACTCCTACTAAATGTTTAGGAAAGATGTGGATTGATTTTTAAAAAGAAGTAAATACAATATATGCTGTGTTATTTCATAATGATACTGAAAGTTTAAAACTAAGTTAGGCAAAATAAAGTCTAAAAACCAAAAGAAATGAAATATAATTCAAAGCAAAAACTATTACATGGAATAAAGAGAACAAATGGGTCATAAGAGACTTTTGACACAAATATAATGAATAAAATGTGGTCTGGAATATATTTCAATTTAAAAAGAACAAATATATTAGAAATACAAGACAAACAGAAACAATTATATAAATAATTTAACAGCAAACAATTGTGAGACAGCAAACCCAAAATAAGGTCCTAGTAAGTTCTAGGCAAGTGTTCTGCTGAGTTCCATCTGTTGCTCCTTCCTTTTTATTTTGAAATCATTTTAAAGTAAAGTTTCAAGAATATCATGGAAGAAAGTCTATGTATCATTCATGCAAGGTTTACTAATATTTGTTTATCTTTCCCTCTTCCTGGTTATACACATATACATATGTACACTTAAATGCCCACACAGGTACATACACTTTTCTGAGCTAATTGAAAATGCACAAACTGCAGGCACAGTGAACTACTGCTACTCAACACTTCATTGTGAACTTTCTCATACTCTTGTAACCATGGTTTGACCAAAATCAAGAACTAAGTGATTATACATAACACAGAACACATTCAGGTTTTAAAATTATCCCAGTGTCATTTATAATTTAAAAATCCTTGCAACACAGTATCCAGACCAGGCTAACAAGTTACATTTTGTTGTAACAGTTTTTAGCTCCACCAGTCTAGCACAATACTTAATAGTCTTGACTTTGCTGACCCTGCATTTTTGAAAAATACAGACTAGTTTTTGTTTGATTGATTGGCTTAGTTTGGTCTTAGGGTTGGAGTCTTCTGCCTATACACTCTACTATTGATGTGTACTACCACCTCTAATACTTCACTTTTTGTTTGTTTGCGGTAATATCTCATAGACCAGGATGGCCATAAAGTCATTATACTGCTAAAGGTAATCTCGAACTGATCCTTCTGCCTTTGCCTTCCAAGAATTACATGTGTGCAACCCCACTCCATGCTTCCCACACAGCTCCATGGCCCTTGACTCTTTGCTACCCAGCTCTAAACTGGTTATTCTATGTATTCCAAACCAATACTTTTATTTTGTGTGGTACTTCTTCATGATTCAGGTTATGTGTTTTTAGGAAGACCATCACAAAGGCACTGCTATCCATCATCTGTCATCAGAAAATGCATGTTAGCCGGGCGGTGGTGGCGCACGCCTTTAATCCCAGCACTCAGGAGGAAGAGGCAGGCGGATCTCTGTGAGTTCAAGGCCAGCCTGGTCTACAGAGCGAGTTCCAGGACAGGCTCCAAAGCCACAGAGAAACCCTGTCTCGAAAAACCAAAAAAAAAAAAAAAAAAAAAAAAAATGCACGATATAAATTTGTCCCATTACCATCGATTCTGTCTTTGATCACTAAGGTGTTGCCCAGTAGCTTAATCTACTGTAGTTTTGCTATTCTTTCCCATTCTGTTAATGAGTTTTTGGTGCTTGCTCAACTTCTACTTATCCTTAGGTCTCTCAGTTTAGGTGTTATTTTTCCAGGGAAATCACCCAGAAATACTTCGTGCTCCCAAGACAAGGTCAGGCTGGCCTCATAATTGAGGAAATAGAGATAACCAATAAATACTTGAGATAATATCTAACCTTATTGGAAGTTTAAAGCAAGTGAATGCAGAAACATACCTTTAAACTCAAAGTAGAAAATTAAGATATTTTGTATTAAGAAGAGTACTGTTATGTACTGCTAGTATAATTTATATTGGTAAATTATATATACATATATATGTATATATATTTAACATTGCATCTCAAAATTTTCCGTACCCTTTGGCATAGTGCTTCTACTTCAAGAAATTAATGCTTAAATATTTCAAAATGAAAACAAATAATTATTTGTTAGCTGAACAATAAGCCTGCTATTCTGTGTGCTAGATATTGTTAGAAATACCAACCAGGACCTCGAAATATTTGCAATTTGGCAAGAGATATTTATCAAAGTGTTATTTCTACAACAACAAAATGGAAGATAGCCTAGGTTTACAGCAATTAGTAAATAACCAAATTTATTTTATTACAATCATATGAGACAATATTATACCAAAATAGTTTCTATAACAAAGAAAAACTTATATTCTATATTAATTATAAAAAGGTACAGCTAAGATCAGTGGTACATGCTAATAATCCTATTACTTCAAATGGCAGAGGCAGGAGAATCAGAGTTCATGGTCAGCCCGGACTTTATGTGTATCTGAGACAAGCCTTGGCTACATGAGACTATGTCTCAAAAATATCAAAAAAGTCAAAAATTTTTTCAATCAAGAAAAAAACATTTTAAAAGCAAGATACCAAAGGAGAAAACTAATAGAAAACATCAATAACATTAACAGTAGGCTAATGGATAGCTCCATGGGTAAAGTGCTTGCCATGCAAGCTTAGCCACCTGAGTTTAATATCAGAACCCATGTAAAAGTAAAGACAACTCATTCTCCAAGTCATTTTCTGTCCTTCACACATGCACCATGGCACACACAAACCTGAACTCACACATACACATCATACACACATATATGCTCATATAGTATTATTAAAAGAAATATTAATAGGCTGATGGGTTGGCTTAGCAGGTAGAGGTGCTTGCCACCAGTCCTGATGACCTAAGTTCAATTCCCAGAACCCACATGGTAGAATAAGGAATTCTATGAGCATGCCTCACCAGTGTACACAAAATAAATGTTCTTTCAAAAATTAAAGTATGTTTTACTTTTGTCATCAGAAACACATATAGAAAAGCAAGAAATTAATAATTTCTAAAAATTCTTTTGAGACTGTAATCAGAGACAGCTTTTGTTTTCCAGCCACCCAGACCCAAATAATCACACAGAAACTATATTAATTACAACAAAGTTTGGTCAATGGTTCAGGCATATTCCTAGCTAGCTTTTACATCTTAAATTGACCCATTTCTGTTAATCTATGTGTTGCCTTTAGGCTGTGGCTTACCAGTAAGGTTCCAACATCTTTCTCCTTCAGCAGCTACATGGCGTCTGCCTGACACTGCCTTCTTTCTCCCTGCATTCAGTTTAGTTTTCCTGCCTAGCTCTATTCTGCCCTGCCATAGGCCTAAGCAGCTTCTTTATTAACCAGTGGTAATAAGACATATTCATAGCATACAGAGGGGAATCCCACATCATGAGACAGAATCTCACAATATAATTCAGGACAGCCTCAGATTTCCAGCCCTTCTGTCTCAGATATGCACATGCCCCCACACTTGGCAATTTTCTTAAAGCATGATTTTACTTATATTTAAAACTAAAAAATCAACCTCTCAAAGTAGAGCCTAGTGATGATGACTAGGATAAATGGAAGGGGAAGAATTTAAATGATCAAGGGGTTCAAAGATTTAGGTAGACATGAGGAATAACTTTGCAGATCTGTTACTATGGAGAATCACTACAATCTATGAAAACACAGTGTATATTTTTAAAAAAAAACATGAAAACTTTTCCTTTGCATTACCAACTAATAGCATTTGTTTAAAAGTTAAATATAGTATCTTTTTAGGACATTTGCCTCTCTATGGAAACTCAGCTATGAGTCAGTGCCTAATAATTCATATATTATCTTGTAGCCATACAACTTTTAACATGTACTCATTTGTTTCTCAATTTTTTGATAGGGTCTGACTATGTCAGTGTTTAGCATTTTTGTTGTTTTTTGTTTTTATTTTTGAGACAGTTTCTCTGTGTAACAATCCTGACTTTCTGGAACTCACTCTGTAGACCAGACTGGCCTCGAACTCACAGAGATCTGCCTGCCTCTGCTTCTCAAGTACTGGAACTAAAGGCATGTGCCACCACTTCTTGGCTGTTTAGCATTTCTTATGTGCTAGTATCTTAGTTGGAGCTTCCCTGCTGAAATAATGATTCCCTATAAATCCATAGACTATGTTCAAATTACTCTTTTAAAGCACACTACTTGACTGGATAGTGATGTGAACTCAATTTTAATTTTCCCTTGGGCAGTATGTGAGACAAAGTAAAATTCATAAGCTCCTAGGAATAAATAATGTTATTTTATTTTCTGTTCCATTAAATATAATCAAAGGCAACATCATGTAACATTGATAAGATACTAAGAAGAAAATATATGTATCATTCTTGATTTTTCTTTTCTTTTGGTTCTGGGGTTTGAACCCTGGGCATTACACATACTAAATATGTGTTCTGCCACTGACGTTGCCCTTTCTTCCATTGCTTCTTACAGGCAGCCCTGGAAGCACTAGATGAATTAGACTTGTTTGGTGTGAAAGGTGGGCCACAATCAGTTATCCATGTTCTGGCTGATGAAGTACAACACTGCCAGGTAAGGAAATAATGGACCATGGAATCACAAATTTTATTCTTGCCCAGATTCAGACTTAGCACAGGCTTTAGCTTAAAGAGAGCAGTTCATCACATTATTATTACCATGTGATCAGAAACATCTTTATCAACCATTCTATACTAAGATAAACCTGATACTAGCATGAGCTATAAGATAGATAATGTTTGTCTTAGTCAATGTGCTGTTCCTGTGAAGAAACACCATGAGTGCAACAGCTCATAAAAAAGCATTTAATTGGGGCTTGCTTAAAGTTTCAAAAGCTTTAGTCTATTATTAACATGGTGGGAAGCATGGCATCATGCAGGCAGACATGGTGCTGGAAAAGTAGCTGAGAGTTCTTTATCTGGATCTGTAGGCAAGAGGGAGAGAGAGATACAGGGACTGATTTGGGCTTCTGAAACCCCAAAATCTACCTCTAATGACACACTTCCTTCAATGGGGCCATACCTCTTAATTCTTTGTAGTAGTACTACTCCCTGCTGACCAAGCATTCAAATATATAAGCCTGTGGGAGCCATTCCTAGTCAAACCACCACATTCCACTCCCTGACTACCATAGGCTTGTAGCCATAAGATAATTCAACATTGTGTTCAGTCCATCTTTGAACGTCTCCATAGTCTATAATAGTCACAACACTGTTTAAAAGGCATAAGTCCAAAAACCCTTCTGAGACTCCTGGCAATCTCTTAATTGTAAAAGCAAAATAAAAAAAAAAAAACCAGATCGCATGCTTCCAACATACAGTGACACAGAATATACATTATATTCCAAAAGGGAGAAAGGGAATGCAGTGAGGAAATACTGGATTAAAGCAAGACCAAAAACAAGCTGGGCAAACTCCAAACTACATCTCCATGTCTGATGTCAAAATGTTCTTCTGATCTCCAACTCCTTCCAGCTTTGTTGACTGTAACACACTTCTCTCTCTTGGACTGGCTTCACTCACTGTTAGCAATTCTCTTTGGCAGGTTTCCCATAGCTCTGCCATCTCCAACATTTTGGGATCTCCAACACAATCAAGGCTTCACCTTCCCCACTTCATGCAGTGGCCTCTCTGGGCCTCCATTCAGGGACACCCCTAAACATGTCTGGCCTCCGTGGCTTTCTTTGCAGTGAAGAGAAATTCCACAACCCCTTTCTTGTATCCCTGGCTCTTAAGCCAGAATCATATAACTGAAGCTGCCAAGTTCTGCTGCTTGCTGGGGCTGGGACATCTGGTTCAATTTTATCTGCATGAGCTTTCTGTTTTCTGTGGTTTTCTTCACTGCTTAAAAATTTTCTTTAATTCCTTTTCACAAGTTGGAAACTTAGCTGGGTGGGATCTTGCCATGAGGTCACCACTCTCTTTATTCTATTTAGCATCGGGCTTTTCTTTTAGTTTTTTATCTCCCTTAACACTGAACTTAGTGCCATTACACTTCCTGGTGCCCCCCCTTTTCCCCAAACTGTACATTATGTATTTTTCTTTGCTCAGCTTGCTGATTTTCATTATAGACATGCATAAGAGTGAACACTAATAACCATGAAACAGAATCTATACTAGGCTGTTTTGAAATCTCCTCTGCCAATGCCATTAAACCAGAATTCTTCAATTTATCATCAGGCAAACTTTTGACAAGGGCATAAAGCAGTCACATTCTTTGCCAAAAATATCACAAGAACAGTCTCTAGGCCACTTGCTAATATTTCTCTCCTCTGAAACCTCTTGAGCCAGGCTGTCATAATCTACATTGCTCTCAGCACCAATATCTTCCACATTCCTAATGGTATTGTCCATTAAACCCATTTTAAAGCATTCAGCTGCTTTACTAATCTAAAGTCCCAAAGCCCACACATTCCACCAACAATATGATCAGGCCTGTCACAGTAATACTTCAGTCCCTGGTACCAACTTCTGTCTTAATCTGTGTTCTATTGCTGTGAAGAGACAGCATGACCACAGCAACTCTTATAAATGAAAGCATTTAATTGGGGTGGCTGACTTACAGTTTCAGAGGTTTGGTCCATTATCAGCATTGCAGGAAGCATGGGAACACACAGGCAGACATGGTGCTGGAGGAGCTGAGTGTTCTACATCTGGATCCACATGCAGCAGGAAGAAAAAGACACTGCGACTGGCTTGGACATCTGAAACTTCAAACCACCACAGCGGTCTTCTTGTCTCAGTTATAATTATAAAATGAACCCACCATAGTATAACCAGCTATCTATTGCTATTATATCAAGGGCCTGTGGTTTCATTTTCCAAGAATCATTTTTTGTAAGCATAAAAAGGAAACAAGATATGACCTAAGTGTTCAGAAGGGTGGATCCGAAACATTGTCCCTTGTTTTCTGCTTAGATTTTTGGACATTAGACTATTAGTCTGGTAAAAGTTCACCCTTAGTTTTGTTTATGATTGTCACCTGTATCAAAAGTTTCTTTTCTCTGGTATGTGAAATTTCTCCTTTTCTTCAGCCCTGATTGTATCCTATAAGGTATGCTAGTGAACATAATTTCAGCTTCTAATTTCGAAAACATTTTCTGTGGATAAAATATGTCATGGAAGAAGAAAAGGATCATTTGTAGATAGGAAAAAGATTAGCAGGAGTAAAATGGGGGTATGGAAATATGGGTGAAAAAATAGCTAAGTGCAATGATATATGTGTCTAAAATATAAAGAAACCCATTATTTTTCACACTTGCTGAAAATTAATTTGAAAATATCTTAGAGGCATAATTGATCCTTCCCCTACTCTTCCCAGAAGCTGTAGTTTGTCTTAGTTTTATTATTTAAAATTTATTTATTATTTTGTGTGTATGGGGGTTTGGTCTGGGTATATATTTGCACCATATTCATGCCTTGTGCCCATGCAGGGTCGAAAAGGGTGTTGAAGTTATGGATGGTTGTGAGCTGCCCAGTCCTCTGGAAGAACAACCAGTGTTCTTAACCACTGATTCATCTTTCTAACCTCAGCTTTATTTTTATCTAGAGCCTAAGAAACCAACAGGGTTGTGTGTGTCCCACAGATGCTTTCCAATCACAATGGGGAAGCATTGAGAGCAGGACAAAGAAAAGGGATTCAATACCAAGCAAGCTACTTTTAGGATCTCACTTTTTAATAAAATTTGGGTTTTATTCTGAAAGCTTTTGTTCCACATAAATCTTTTTGAACCAAAGCTCCTGGTCTCACCTCTTAACAAAAGTATCTAATAATAAACTATATTTTGCTACCTTTCTCTTAGTCAATCCTAAATTCACTGCTGCCCCGGGCTTCAACATCCAAAGAAGTTGATGCCAGTCTGCTGTCAGTGATCTCTTTCCCAGCCTTTGCTGTAGAGGACAGCCATTTGGTAGAGCTCACCAAACAGGAGATCATCACCAAGCTTCAGGTATGTACACATGTGCCTTTCTTCTCTTTAGAGCTGGGAGTTTAAAGGAAGATTAGTGCTTTTAGGCCTTTGAGTATAACATATGCCAGGAATTTCAAGAAACCTTTAAGTTACGCTCTTGTCAGTAGTTTCTCTACAAAGCTTTCAAAAGCAGTCATTACTGTTGGGAATGGGACATACACTTTGGAGAACAGTTGGCATACTCTTATATATAACTTTAGTATATATGCACATATGTAATGTGTGATCCCACAAACATCCTTACTGGTGTGGGAGAATTGTCTGTATTCTGTCAATCATGTTTTAAATAAACGCTTATTGGCCAGGCAGGAAATATAGGCGGGAAAACCAGACAGGAAGTAGAAATAATGTAATGAGAACAGGAGAATTCTGGGAAGGAGGAAGTTGATTCCTCCCACTCCTGCCCAGACCACTGAAGCAGCAGGATGTGATCTGCCCCACTGAAAAAAGGTACTGAGCCACATGGCTAACATAGATCAGAAAAATGGGTTAATCAAGATGTGAGAGTTAGCCAGTGAGAGGCTAGAGCTAATGGGCCAATCAGCTTATAATTAATGGAGACCAATGTGTGATTTTCTTTGGGGATAAACAGTTGTCGGGTACTGGGCAGGACAGAAAACACAAACCACAAGCCAGGCCCCCTTCATGTTACACCTTACTCCTCAGTATCTCCCCTAAAATTGATAGTGTACACTCACACGAAAACTCACAAATGTCTGTAGCAGCTTCAGCCATAATTGCAAGAACCTGGAAACCACCTTCAACTGAGAAACAAATTATACTCTATCCCTATTGAATACTACTCAATAGTAAAAAGAACAAGTTAATAATCTCTGAGATAGTATGATTCTTTTTTTCACACTAAATCCTGACCACAGCCTTCCCTATCTACCTACTCTACCTCCCCTCTCCCCAGACTCATTACCCCCCAAAGTGGATCAGGAATCCTTGATAAGTGGTTGATTTGAGGATCACATTAGGGAAGATATAAAAGATCTGAAGCATCTTAAGGCTTCAGAAAGTAAAGAACTCAAAAAGGGTTGGGAATGGCTGGTCATGGTGGTATGCACCTTGAATCCAGTTCCTGGGAGGCAGAAGCTGGTAATCCTCTGTGAGTTCACCAGTCTGGTCTACAGAGTGAGTTCCTGGACAGCCAAGGTTTACATAGAGAGACTCTGTCTCATACCCCCCCCCCCCAAAAGAAGATTGTTAATGTCAAATTTCTTCTTGCAGTAGATGGTAATTAACACAGAAACCCACAAGTGGACAATGTGCAAAGAGTAAGAAGCCTTTGGAACACTCAGCCCTAAATGGGTTGTCTTCATCCAAAACCCTGGCCTCAAGGCTCAGGAATCTATGTGGAAGAGGAGTCATAAAGAGTTTAGGAGACAGAGCTGGTGAATGACTCAAAGGAAACAAACAGTGCCATCCAGACATGATAGGACTGATACCATGTTAACTCAGAGACTGTGACAGTACTCACAAGATCTACTCGGGTTCAAACCAGACAAAATCTTAGTATAGAGAAGGGGAAATGAACACAAAATCCCATCCTTAACCAAGAAGTTATTTGCAATTGATGTCTGCCAGGAAGAGAAAATCAGTTTTCTCTAATGGAGTGTCAGTGAGTGTTACCAATCACACTCCAGGGTAGGTTCCATGTCTAAGACAACACAGATTGGATGCTATGTTCTTTATTTTGGTACTTTTGTTTGTTTGCTTGTTTGTTTGTTTTTTGGTGTTTTGAGACAGGGTTTCACTGTAGTTTTAGAGCCTGGCCTGGAACCAGCTCTTGTAGACCAGGCTGGCCTTGAACTCCCAGAGATCCTCCTGCCTCTGCCTCCTGAGAGCTGGAATTAAAGGCATGCGCCACCACCGCCTGGCCTATTTTGGTACTTTTAATCTTCCTGCTTTTCTTTTTGTTTGTTTTTCTTTCTTAGAGAAACAGAGAACATGAAAGTTGGGTGGGTAGTGAGGAGATGGGAAGGATCTGGGAGGAGCTGGGGGACAGGAAAGAAAATGATCCAAATACTGAGTATTGGGTCCTTATGATTACTCAGGAAATACTTTACCCACTGGGCCATCACCTGAGTCCTGTGATGTGGGATTTTGAACTGGATCCTGGAATAGAATAAAAAAGGACAGTGATTGAAAACTCAGTGAAATCTAAATAGGTTTTATAATTCAATTAATATTAGCATATCAAAGTTAAGTTTTAGTTCTAATGTATGTTCCTGTAGTTACATTAGTTAATATAAGGAGATGAGATTTGATGGGCATAGTGAGAGTATGTAGTGTTTGTAACTTTTATAAGTCTAAGATAATTTCAAAAAATTGAAAATATATTTAAAAAATAAACTATGGTCTCTTGGGAGCTGTATGTACTGTGGGAAGAACTGCACAGATTGGTAATTAGCTTGTTGTAGGCTTGGCCTAAGGTGGACAGTCGTGGAGAAGATACTGCTAAGCATGCTGTTTTGGGGAAGAACCTGTAACATACTTCTTGCTTGAAAGGACATTGCTGCTGTTGCTGTTGCTGCTGCTGAGCTGATTTTGAGTTCTGTGTCTGTGGTGGTGAGAGATTGGTACATGGAGATGTTTGAGGATGTGCTTCTGCTTGTGGAGTCATACAGATATACAAACTTCAGGGCCTTTTTCTCTGTGTCCCCAGGGTCGTTATGGTTGCTGTCGTTTTCTACGAGATGGATATAAAACTCCTAAAGAGGTAGGTTTCTGGGGCTGGAGAGCTGGCTCGGCTTTTAAGAGCACTAGCTGCCATTACAGAGGTCAAAAGTTCAATTCCTAGTACCTGCATGGTGGTTCACAACCATCTACAATGAGATCTGGTGCCCTCTTCTGGTGGCAAGTGTACATGCAGGAAGAACTCTATACATAATAAATAAGCCTTAAAAAAAAGGTAGGTTTCCTTTCACCACAGGGAAATTGGGCAGAATTGTCCCTTTTCTTTGTAGCCTCATTCAGAGATAAGTTACCTTGCTGATAGAATTTTTGCAGATCATTAAAGGGAATAATAAGTGATGTTTGTTGTATTTATTGGACTTTGCTGCCAAGTTTTGACATCGGTAGTAAATAAATTAATAATAATAATATGTTCAAAAGTAAATAAAATAAAGGCTGTTTTTCCTTTCTTTTAGTTGATTAGTTTAAGGAAAGAACTACCGATAGATGCTAAAATCTATGGACAGTTTTAAATACAAATAACATTTACATAATATCCAAATATGCCCCCAAAATATTTAATCAATCCAAAGGAAAGGCACTTTCCATCAGTACATCTTTTTGTCTGCCTGTCGTAGTCCCTTTTCTGTTGTCTGGGACACAGTACCGCAGACTGAGTTGTAAAATGGGTACACTTGGGCTCACAGTTCTGTAGGCTCAGAATCAAGAGGTCCACATCTGCTGACAAGAATCCCAAGGTGTGATCCAGGGAGTACTGGTGTGCCCCAATCCCTTCTGGTCTCTTTCCTTTTGACAAAGCCAGAGGCTCAGTCTCCACCCTAATGGCCTTACTGAATCCTGATCTGTCCTGCAGCCTCCACCTCTAAGTTCTGTAGTTTATTCCATTTCTCCCCACTAGTACTTCACAATATGGATAAAATATCAGCCCATCAAGCCTTAAGGACACCAAACCTAAACTGTTCCAAGATTAGTAGTTTGTATTTGGTTAGTTATAAACAGAACTTGTTTGTGAAAATATAAGTTCCTTTAGTTTTACTAGTCAAAAGTTCTCCTTGAAAAAAAAAGTATGGCTTGGGCCAGCTTTTCAAGAACTATTATGAGTGCTTGTGTAGCATGCTCAATGCCCTGCGTTCCAGTCCCAGCACCACACAGAAGAGAGGAACTATGTTCTTTTTAAATTAAGTGTGAAATCTTGTCTACTTCCGCACTTCTACTTTCTTCTTCAGCCCGGAGTTTGACTTTTGCCCTTTTCTTGAAGTTTTTTCCATTTGGATTTCCACAGTACTGCACTCTCATGGTTCTTGGCTCTCTGTCTTTGGATCCCCTCATTCTGAAGACTTGCCAGGATTCCCTTCTTGTACAGGCCATTCATTCTTTCCCACAAAGGCCATCTGTGCCTAGTGTTGCCTCTCTCAGGTTGATTACAAAGCAGTCCTACACTGATGGTTAGTTAATATTGTCAGCTTGACGGGATCAAGGAGACGAGCCTTTGGTTATACCTGTGAGGGTATTAGTAGGTTAATTAAAGTAGGAAGATCTACCCTAAAAGCGAGTGGCAATATTTCCTGGGTTGAAGGCCTGGGCTGCATGGAAAGGAAAAGCTAGCTGCATTCCAGCATTTATTGTACTCTTCCTGACTGTAGAAGCAGTTGTGATCAGCTGCCGAAGCTTCTGCCACCTTCTCTGTCCTTCATGATGAATTGTACCCTTGAACTGTGAGCCAAAGTAAACTCTTGCTTCACTTGAGTTGATTTTGTCAGATTAGTTTATCATGGAACAAGAAAAGTAACACACATTTTCGTATATCTCTTGTGATTCCTTATTATTTCAAGACTAGTCATTGGACGTTTTCATAGAGCACTTGCTTCCCTGATGCCATCTTTGAAACAGATGGTCTAGTAAAACTCCTACTACAATACCTCTAAACTAAGGATATAAATCCAATCTCTGAGCGACAGGACAGACTTTATTCTATTTTTGTCTAGGATCCAAATCGTCTATACTATGAACCAGCTGAGCTGAAGTTATTTGAAAACATTGAGTGCGAATGGCCATTGTTCTGGACATACTTTATCCTTGATGGAGTCTTCAGTGGGAACGCAGAACAGGTAATGAGCTGGGAGAAGAGCTCTGAGCAAGCTGCTCTTGTTGTATCTTCTTCTTTCAGTTAATGGCTCTATCTGTATTGACTCCCCCAAATTGGAGTCTTCTGACTACCACATAGAGTTGTCTGTCTCCTAGAGACTTGTAGTTGATAATAGTGAATTAAGATTTGGGGAACACTGTGGTTGGAATGTAAAATGAAATTTTAAAAAGTAAATTTAAAAAATTAAAAAAGAAAAGTTACTATATAAAAAAAGAATTGGGAAATTCTAACTGGGCAGTGGTGGCGCACACCTTTAATCCCAGCACTCAGGAAGCAGAAACAGGTGGATCTCTGTTGATTCTGAAGCCAGCCTGATCTACAAAATGAGTTCCAGGACAGCCATTGCTGTTACACAGAGAAACCCTGTCTGGAAAAACCAAAAGCAAAACAAAACAGCTACAAAAAAAATTTGAGAAACTCAGATTGTTTTTTTTTTCTTCAATCCTGACCATCCAAGTGTTGTCAGTGACTTCTTCGATTTCATTGCCTCTGTAGGTGAGATTTTTTTTCTTTCATTAAAGAACATTGTCAAGTTAAGGATGTTAAAATATTAATTACTTCAATTTCATCATTATACACCATATACGTGAGTTGAAGTATAACACTGTAGCCCACAAATTTCTGTATTTCTAAAAAGGATTTTTTGCTGCGGTGACACATGTTTGTAATCTCAGGACTCAGGCTAGGGCAGGCAGATCAAGAGTTTGAGACCAGTCTACGCTAAATAGCAGGACCATCTCAAATAATATTTTTAGAAAAGGTATCCTTGGGTGATAGAGAGATGGTTCCTTGGTTAACAGCACCTTTTGCTCGTCCACAGGATGCGGGCTCAATTCCCAGCATGCACATGACAGCTCACAAACATCTGTAATTCCAGTTCCAGAGGCTCCAAAGCTACCTTCTAAGCCTTATGGGTAACAGGTACCCATGTTGTTCACATACATATATGCAGGTGAAATACTCAGTACATAAAATAAAAAATAATCTTTTCAAAAAATATTCAAAAATTTCTTTGAAAGTTCACAATAAAGATATGCTGTAAATTCAAAAGCCAGTTAGTTCCATTATAATGAGATAGCATCCCTTTGAAAATATCACCATGAAATGTATAGTCAAGAAATTTAAAATCTATAGAATAGAAAAATGGGGTGAGGAGCACAGTACTAAAACTGTATGTATGGCTTAGTATAGTGCTGCACACCTTTAATCCCAGAACTGTGGAGAAAGAAGCAGGAGGATTTCTGTGAGTTGATGTAGCACGACTAATAAAAACCCAGAGACACATATTGGGGTTCAAGCTGAAGATCAGAAAAGCAAAGTGGCCAGCCACTGACTCTTACCTCTACCTCAGACAGAAATAGGTAATCCTGCCTCCACAAATCCTCAGACTGTGTCTGAGAGCTGTCTCCTCCCGTCTTATATTCCTCTCTAGAGATGGGATTAAAGGTGTGCACCACCACTGCCCGGCCTCTATGGCTAACTAGTGTGGCTTCTGCGATTAAAGGTGTGTGCCATAACTGTCTGGCCTCTGTGGCTAACTAGTGTGACTGCTGAGATTGAAGGTGTGTGCCACCACTCCCTGGCCTGTATGGCAGACTCCTATGGCTGCTTTGCACTCTGATCTTCAGGCAAGCTTTATTTATTAAAACACAAATAATACACCAATAGTTTGAGTAGCCTGCACTACACAGTGAGTTCTAGGCCAGCCAAGACTATATAGTAAGACCATGTCTCAATCATAAGTAAATGTATGTTTGTACATAACAAAATGATAGAAAGCTAGTCGGAAAAAAATAAAAACAGTGGCACAGTTTCCAACATGTTAAATGGTCAAATATATAAGTGCTACAATAGGTCTGATAGTTAAACCTTGAAAAGAGCCTGAATTTTGCTTGTAGAAGTGTTTGACCTTCTTCGTGCCAGTTCGCCTGGTTGGTACTTTTGCCCACTAGCCTGTATGTAAGAGGAAGAAAACAAAAGAAAAATAAAATAAATGATAGAAATCAGAGGAGAAAAACAACAAAATACAGAGGAAACGTTAGAATGGGCTGAGAGGAATGGGGGCAGTTAAAACAAGAGGAAGGCACCCATTTTGCAACCAGAGCAGCTGTTAGGTGCTCATAGCTTAGAAGTTAGGATGTGCTTAAAGAAAGGTCATATAGGAGAGAGAGCACAAGCAAGGAACTCAGGACCGCTAGGGGTGCACCCACACACTGAGACAATGGGGATGTTCTATCGGGAACTCACCAAGACCAGCTGGCCTGGATCTGAAAAAGCCTGGGATAAAACCGGACTCGCTGAACATAACGGACAATGAGGACTACTGAGAACTCAAGAACAATGGCAATGGGTTTTTGATCCTACTGCATGTACTGGCTTTGGGGAAGCCTAGGCAGTTTGGATGCTCACCTTACTAAACCTGGATGGAGGTGGGCGGTCCTTGGACTTCCCACAGGGCAGGGAACCCTGATTGCTCTTTGGGCTGACGAGGGAGGGGGACTTGATTGGGGGAGGGGGAGAGAAATGGGAGGCGGTGGCGGGGAAGAGACAGAAATCTTTAATAAATAAATAAATAAATAAATAAATAAACAATAAAGTAAAAAAAGAAAGGTCATATACACTGTGGAACACTTCAACAACAGATGTAGACTCATTTGGTTCCTTGGCCTTGTTCGGTAAGTACATGTCTGTGTAGTTTTAAATAGTTTAGTTCAGCACAGTTGTGTTCTCAGGAAGAAATTGCACATAAGCAAACATCAAATTCATGTTATACTCTGTAGACTGCAAAAACAGTCCTGCACACAGATAAGCACTGGAGAAGCCAAGAAAAGTTAAGCACACATCTCATCTCTCCAAAGAGGGAAGATATTTGACTGTTCTCCCAGAATGCTGGGGGAAAATATAGTTTGCAGCCTGGTAATCATTCGCTATCTGTTTAGCCAGCCTCCACCCATATCACCCAGAATATTATGTTTATCCCAGATTCTTTCCCCTGACACCTTGAGCATTACTTCTAAACCATAAAACTCATCATTTGTACCTTATAATAGCCTAAATAACTTCTATGTTTTCTTAGGGCCAGGCATTGTATTTACCTCAGTCATTCTTCTTACGCCCTTATCTTGACCATTGTTTTCTAAGTCAACAAGAACCCATCTTACACATGAAGCTGTATGTACTTTGTAAAAAGTTTCAATGCAGACATGTCTTAAACTTTGTTGTACTCATGGGGCTGAGTTAATTGTTATTAGAATACTTTTTTCCCTAAATTGTGTTATGCTTAAATATAGCAAAAATAAATGAGCTGATGTCAGACTCTAGAATTCCTGGCCCAGCATCGGTTACCAAAATCCATGTGATCCAAGTTTCAGTCTTATCTCACCCTGATCATTTTCCCCGACCTGCTGTAAGCCTGCAGGAACCCCTCCACAATACTTAAATTGTACCCTAATTTATTAAACACATTTTAAAACTTTGTGAATTTTAACAATATCCTAATTATACCACAAAGCAGCTGGGATGAAGCTATTATGTTAAAGAACTATGTATTCCCCCATAAATTATGGTTTTGTTGTGGTTTTTTTTTTTTTTACTTCTTATGATCCCAAGGCCTTGTACACGCTAGGCCCACTGAGCTGCATCCTGACTCTTTCCCTTTTTATAGTTTATGAATTACTGTGTTTCAGCAAATCGTTAAGTAAATAACATAAACCTAACCACAATAGCAGCCAAACCCAGAGAGGAGTGATGACAAGGGTAATTAATGGGAAAGTGTATACGAGCAAAGTACAATGATAGACATGTATGAAAATGTCATAATAAAATCCATTATTTTATATACTAACTAAAAGCAATTAATAAAAACATAGATTTAAAAGCCTATTCAAAGGGCTGGAGAGATTTCTCAGTGGTTAAAAACATTTGCAACTTTTACAGAAGACCAAAGTTAGATCCCAGCATCCATATCAGACAGTTCACAACCACCTGTAACTCCAGTTCCAGGAGGTGCTAATCCCTCTTCTGCAGGCACATGCGTGCATGTGCACGTGCACACACACACACACACACACACACACACACACACACACACCGATGTATACACACATAAATAAAAATAAACTTAAATAAAATAAAAGCCAAGTCAAGGACTAGAGAGATGGTTCAATGATTAAGAGCACATAATGTTCTTCCAGAAAATCCAAGTTTGATTCTTTACATTCTTGTCATGTGGCTCACAAATTCTTGTAGAGTTATAGCTCCAGCTTCAGGAGATCTGACACATCTGGCTTTCAAGGGTACCAGCACACATGATCATATACCCCCACACTGACACATATGCATACATATAATTTTTAAAAATAAAACTTTTTTGTCAGTCATAGCGGCACACACCTTTAATCCCAACACTTGGGAGGCAGAAGCAGATCACTTAGGCCCTTGAAGACAGACTGAGTCAGAGTAAACTACACTAAATCAGGTATTTGCTTAATAAACTACAAGTTCAGAACCTCTTAGAACTTAATCCCTGAAGTAATAAGGGCGGCGGCGGGGCTGCGTCCCCAACACCCCAGCTGCCTGCCCGGCTAGCTTATGCCCCAAAATAATTACACGGACACTGTATTCTTTTAAACACTGCTTGGCCCATTCTCTTCTAGGCTAATTCTCACATATTAATTTAGCCCATTTCTAATCATCTGTGTGTAGCACCCCAAGGTGCGCTTACCGGGAAGATTCTAGCCTATGTCCATCCTGGGTCGGAGCTTCATCCCGGGAGCGGGGCATGGCGTCTCTCTCAGGCGTCTGCTCCTGAGAGGAAAGCGGTCGAGTCTCTGAGCTCACTTCCTCTTCCTCCCAGCATTTTGTTCTGTTTACTCCTCCCACCTATCCTCTAACCAATAAAATGGGCCAGGGCAGTGCCTTTATTAGCCAATGACCTTCCTCCATCAAATCCCCATGTTAAAGGGCTTCAATTACACATCCCTACTAGAATGAAACAAAAATTAAATGTGTTAAAGTATACAAAAATTCATGTGATATTTGATCTTTAGAAAACATGTAATAAACCTGCATTAGTTAGGGTTTCTACTGCTGTGACAAAACACCATGACCAAAAGGCAGTTTGGGGAGAAAAGGGCTTATTTGACTTATGTATCCTGAATCACAATCCATTAAGGGAAGCTAAGGTGGCAGGCACTCAAACAGGACAGGAACCAGGAGGCAGGAGCAGAGGCCATGGAGAGGGGCTGCATACTGCCTTGCTCCCCATGGCTTGCTCAGTCTGCTTTCTTATTCAACCTGGGACCACCAGCCCATGGTTGGCTTCACCCACAATGGGCTGGGCTTTTTCCTATCAATCACTAGTTAAGAAAACGGTCTCCAGGCTTGCCTGCAGTCAGTTCTTATGGAGGCATTTTCTCAGTCATGGCTCTGTCCTCTCAGAGGATTATAGTTTGTGTCAACTTGACACAGTACCATTGCCCCTTTCCTCTCCCTTATACTTGGTTAAATAAGCTCTTTTGTAGTAGTGCTTTCTTTGGCTGTGTCTTTCTGCTATGTTTCCGCGGAAAGTCTCTAAAAGTTTGGTTTTTTTCTTTCTTTTATTCTGCAGGTCCAAGAATATAGAGAGGCTCTTGATGCAGTTCTCATCAAGGGCAAAAATGGAGTCCCACTTCTTCCAGAGCTGTACAGTGTTCCCCCTGACAAGGCAAGTTGGATAGCACTGGCTCATTGACAGGAGAGGAACCGTATTTCTGGGATGCTGAGTCAATAGTTGTTTGAGTCAAATAGCTTTGTGATTTTTGTATCCGGTGATCTTAATATTCTAACAATTTGGTTTTCAGATTATGACAACAAATAGGCGATTTAATTTCTTCAGAAATAAATTAAAGCAGTCTCAATTATTTGACTACTTTACAGTAAGATATGAATGAAAGCAAATCTCAGTTCTGAGAATAATGTACAGATCAGTACATGGAACCAGACTGATGTCCTTTGCCAGCTCTCAGGACTTGGTTTCCTTTGAAGCCAGTAATCAGGGACTGTTGGAGTAGATGAGGCTTAGAAAAATTAAGCAAGTATTGTTTTTGTTTACCATTGTCAAGGAGAATTAGACATGGTAGAGACACAGTTTTTCCTTCTGGTGGGGGTTTGGAGAGTAAGTTCCTAGTGGTATCAGCAGTGTCACCTGAGAATTAAGAATATGTTTTAGCCACCCCCAACACACCGATACAGTCTGCATTTGCACAAGATCCTTGGGAGATTTGGTCACACATCATAGCTTGAGCACTGCCCTACTTAACTGTTCAATCCATTGCCTATAAACTATAAATCCTAATCCAAACTGTCTTTTATCATCTAGTATCTTAAGCTTTCTATTATTGCCTCTCATTTGACCTCTTTATCGCTTCATTTAGGTTGATGAAGAATATCAAAATCCTCACACTGTGGATCGAGTCCCCATGGGAAAATTGCCTCACATGTGGGGTCAGTCTCTATACATTTTAGGAAGCTTGATGGCAGAGGTAAGACTTCAAAGCTATCCCACCTTTTATTTATTTATTTGCCCTAGTCACCATATGATCAGATTTGCAATGAACTCACCAAATTCAAATGCTATCTTCTTCCTTTTGTACTTTGATTTAATTATAACTTTTCTTCCAAATCTTCAGCATGGGGGTTATGGCCAGTGCCTGACAAAAATCTCTTGCTCCCTGGCAGCCATGTCCACCCTGCTGCCCACAGTTCCCTATTCTGGCATTGCACTTGGTGTTGTTCAGGAATAAAGTTGTGCATCTTTCCCTTTCAAAACTCCCCTCAGTGCCTTGCCTGGTGACTAATGAATGCACTTATGCTTAATGGTTATTGGTAATGGATTAAATGTCAACCTTTGCAAGCAACGTGAGGCTTCGTTCCTCAACTGAATTAGCTGATTACTTTAGGAACTTTGTTTTTTTTATTTTTTTTTTTATTTTTTTGCTTTTATTTTTTTTAATTTATTTATTTATTAAGGATTTCTGCCTCCTCCCCGCCACCGCCTCCCATTTCCCTCCCCCTCCCCCGACCAATTCCCCCTCCCCCGACCAATTCCCCCTCCCTCATCTGCTCAAAGAGCAATCAGGGTTCCCTGCCCTGTGGGAAGCCCAAGGACCGCCCACCTCTTTCCAGGTCTAGTAAGGTGAGCATCCAAATTGCCTAGGCTCCCCCAAAGCCAGTACGTGCAGTAGGATCAAAAACCCACTGCGATTGTTCTTGAGTTCTCAGTAGTCCTCATTGTCCGCTATGTTCAGCGAGTCCGGTTTTATCCCAGGCTTTTTCAGACCCAGGCCAGCTGGCCTTGGTGAGTTCCCGATAGAACATCCCCATTGTCTCAGTGTGTGGGTGCACCCCTCGCGGTCCTGAGTTCCTTGCTCGTGCTCCCTCTCCTTCTGCTCCTGATTTGGACCTTGAGATTTCTGTCCGGTGCGCCAATGTGGGTCTCTGTCTCCTTTCATCGCCTGATGAAGGTTAATATTCAGGAGGATGCCTATGTGTTTGTCTTTGGATTCACCTTCATATTTGGCTTCTCTAGGAACATGAATTATAAGCTCAATGTCCTTTATTTATGGCTAGAAACCAAATATGAGTGAGTACATCCCATGTTCCTCTTTTTGGGTCTGGCTTACCTCACTCAGGATAGTGTTTTCTATTTCCGTCCATTTGCATGCAAAGTTCAAGAAGTCCTTGTTTTTTACTGCTGAGTAATACTCTAATATGTATATATTCCATACTTTCTTCATCCATTCTTCCATTGAAGGGTATCTAGGTTGTTTCCAGGTTCTGGCTATTACAAACAATGCTGCTATGAACATAGTTGAGCATATACTTTTGTTGTATGATAGGGCCTGTCTTGGGTATATTCCCAAGAGTGGTATTACTGGCTCCAGGGGTAGGTTGATCCCGAATTTCCTGAGAAACCGCCACACTGCTTTCCAGAGTGGTTGCATAAGTTTGCATTCCCACCAGCAATGGGTGAGTGTACCCCTTTCTCCACAACCTCTCCAGCAAAGGCTATCATTGGTGTTTTTTATTTTAGCCATTCTGACAGGTGTAAGATGGTATCTTAAAGTTGTCTTGATTTGCATTTCCCTGATCGCTAAGGAAGTTGAGCATGACCTTAAGTGTCTTTTGGCCATTTGAAGTTCTTCTGTTGAGAATTCTCTGTTCAGCTCAGTGCCCCATTTTATAATTGGGTTGATTAGCCTTTTACGGTCTAGTTTCTTGAGTTCTTTATATATTTTGGAGATCAGACCTTTGCCAGTTGCGGGGTTGGTGAAGATCTTCTCCCAGTCAGTGGGTTGCCTTTTTGTCTTAGTGACAGTGTCCTTTGCTTTACAGAAGCTTCTCAGTCTCAGGAGGTCCCATTTATTCAATAATGCCCTTAGTGTCTGTGCTGCTGGGGTTATACGTAGGAAGTGGTCTCCTGTGCCCATGTGGTGTAGAGTACTTCCCACTTTCTCTTCTATCAGGTTCAGTGTGTTCGGACTGATATTGAGGTCTTTAATCCATTTGGACTTGAGTTTTGTGCATGGTGATAGATATGGATCTATTTTCATTCTTCTACAGATTGACATCCAGTTTTGCCAGCACAATTTGTTGAAGATGCTCTCTTTTTTCCATTGTATACTTTTAGCTCCTTTATCGAAAATCAGGTGTTCATAGGTTTGTGGGTTAAAGTCAGGGTCTTCTATTCGATTCCATTGGTCGACTTCTCTGTTTTTATGCCAATACCAAGCTGTTTTCAATACTGTAGCTTTGTAATAGAGTTTGAAGTCAGGGATGGTAATGCCTCCAGACAATCCTTTATTGTATAAGATTGTTTTGGCTATCCTGGGTTTTTTGTTTTTCCATATAAAGTTGATTATTGTCTTCTCCAGATCTGTGAACAATTTTGATGGGATTTTGATGGGGATTGCATTGAATCTATAGATTGCTTTTGGCAAAATTGCCATTTTTACTATGTTGATCCTCCCAATCCAAGAGCGAGGGAGGTCCTTCCATTTTCTGGTGTCCTCTTCAATTTCTTTCTTCAAAGACTTATAGTTCTTGTCAAATAGATCTTTCACTTCCTTGGTCAGAGTTTCCCCAATATATTTTATGCTATTTGTGGCTATCGTGAAAGGTGATGCTTCTCTGATTTCCCTCTCTGCTTCTCTCAGGAAGGCAACTGAGTTTTTGGAGTTGATCTTGTATCCTGTACTGTGGGCACTTTGGCTAGTGCTTGATAATAACAGTGTGCTCTTTCTGTTTTATTAATATTTCTGTTTTTACTTTTTGGTAAGGAGCTCTCTAAATGTTCTTTATACCACATTCTGTTAAGATGGCTCTTAACAGAGTTAATGAGGCACAATTTTGTATTCAGTTTCTTTGGGGGCATTTCGAGCCTACATAGAAAAAAATTCTTCTAAAAAAATTTTCCAGTACTTCCTGAAAATCCTATTTCCTACATTATAGGTTATTTTTTTTTTTTTAAAAAAAAGGACACAGTCTTGCTATGTAACAGTAGCTGGCATTGAACTTTCCCCATAGATCAAGCTGGCCTTGAACTTGCAAGGAACCTTCTGTGTTTGTTTCCTGAGTTCTGGGATTACAGGTGTGTGTTATCACACCTAGCATGGTTGTTTTGATATTATAGGCCCAGGTTTCTGGAAAACCTTGTTTGGAACTTACCTGGAATTTCTAAGTATGATTTTCCCCTGCTTATATGGCCGTTTATTTTCTGCAGCTGTATTCTTGGTTTTGTTTTCTGTGCCTGTGGCTGTTTGTAGTAATATGAGCAGTGGGGCTGCATTCCCAGCACCCCGGCCGCCTGCTCGGCTAGTTTATGCCCGAAATAACAACACACAAACTGTATTCATTTAAGCACTGCTTGGCCCATTAGCTCTAGCCCTTACTGGCTAATTCTGATATCCCAGTCAACCCATTTCTAATAAACTGTAGCACTGGTTTTACCAGGAATATTCAGCATGTCTGACCTGGCGGCTTCATCGCATGCATCTGCCCAGGAGCCAGGAGCATGGTGTCTCTCTCTGAGGCGTCTGCTCCCGAGAGGAGAGCTGTGGAATCTGAGCTCACTTCCTGTTCCTCCCAGCGTTCTGTTCTGTTTACTCCTCCCACCTATCTTCTAACCAATAAAATGGGCCAAGGCAGTTCCTTTATTAGCCAATGACCTTCCTCCATCAGTTGTTTGATAATCTGACCTGCCCAGCAGGTCCTAAATTATTCCAGGGTCTGAAGAGGCACTATCTGAAAGACATGGGGGGCGGGGGGAGAAACGGACGCCAAGCAGTATTCTTTGTCAAGGCATTCGTTTATTGAAGCAAGTTTCATGTCTTAAATACTCCTCAGAAAGGAGCTCGGGCAGGGGGAACTGAGGAAAGGGGGAAGGGAAGGAGGGGCTCCGTAGCTAGGCAACTAAGTGGGGCAGTTTGGCAACTAAGTGGGGCAGTTTGGAAGCTAAGCAGGGCAGTTGCAAGGTCAGTGGCTAGAACACCTGCTGTTAGTGATAAGCAGCAAGCCTTGAAGACACTTTGTGGTGCTTTCCAGAGCTTGAGTCTCCACAGTCAGCACGTAATGTTTCGGCTAACTTTAAGTTTTCTGTCTCAAGATTTTTACTTGAAGGCCCTGTGAGATGTGAGAAAGGAGAAGCCTGAAATGGCTCCTGACAATAATCTTTATTGACATGAGCTTGGAGCTAGCACTAATGAGCATAATGCTTTAAAGCAATCGTCCTAGCAGCATTCTCATCCAACAATAAATTAAATTGAGCAAAATCAGGAAGGATTCGGTATTATTAAAGAAAAATGGGTGAGTTCATCTTATTTCACAACATATGGGAACTAAGTAAAAAGATTTCTGCTAGCCAAAAAGCACAGCAAATACAGGGACAAATAAGCAAACAATGTTTATTATAATTTTTAGTTTAATTTATTTTGAGAATTTCATGCATGAGAGTTCTATTTATATTATCTTCACCTATTGCTTCCTTCCACACACACAGCTGCCTGGTCCATTTAGTGTTGTTTGTACATGTATTTATTTAGGACTGACCACTTGGGCCAGTCAGGGTCTCATTCCTGGCGAAAACTGATTCTCCCTGTCTCAGCATCCATTAATTGTCTTTAGCTCTTTGTCTAGGTCTTCTGAGATTTTCCCCCACTTGTGTTAGTATGTCTACTGATAGTATCATTGTGCTGGTCTTGTTTAGGTGACCATGTTTAAAATTTCATGGGTGAAGCTTCCCTGGCACATACAGAAAGTGCAATGCATCACAGCAGATGTTCTGGTTCTCTGGCTCTTAAAATCCTTCCATTCGCTTTTCTGTTACGTTCCCTGAACCTTAGATGTCGGGGCATTGTAGATGTATTGATAGGGGTTGGGTACCTCAAAGGCAGTTGTTTTCTGCATTTTAACCAATTGTGGTATTCTTTATCAGTCTCTGCTGCAAAAAGCTTCTTTGATGAGGGGTGATAGCTACACGTACCTG